TGTGACATGTGACCAAGCCTTATGAAGAATGAAGTATCTACAGTTACTGCAAAAGCACTGAGTCAGTGGATATTCTTTGTTCTTCTGCATTCAGTGTCCTTGATAGTCATGCTTGCTGAACATCTGTGGGACCTGAGCCTGTCCTCATCTGCCATGTCTTTCTTTCTATGGTCCTCCCTTCTCTAAAGATAATAAATAATGTCACTGAACTTGGAGGTTAGGGCTATATTGGGCCCCAAGTCAGGTCCAGCCACCTATCCTCAGTAAGTTAATTAAAAGTGGAAGAATTTATTTAGTGTGGCTACATTGAGAAGAGGGACATGGATCCAGCATCTCTTCCCCCAAGTCTGTCTTCAGTTCAGGATCGAGACCAAAGTTTTAACTGGGATGCAAGGATATACACATCCAAGCAATTCAGTTAAGGTGTGGCCCCTCACCGTCTGGGCTTAGGTTTTACCCTGTGAGATGGTCTGACAAGTTGTTAGAACTTGTGAAATATTTTTATGGAGAGACCAATTTCTCCCCTCTAGCTGGTGCCTTTCCTTCTCCCAGCATGAGATGTACAGAGAAATCCCTGTTTCTTTGGGGTCCATTATATGTCTGAGTCTTTTGTACATACAAGTAATGATGGGGGTTGTTAAAGGTTGCACACTGAGTAATTAATCTCATGAGAGGCTGGCCAAGTTGTCTCTACTGATTAATTCTGGAAGGACTGAAACAGAAAACTAGGGAACTCAAGGCAGCCCAGCACTTTAGTGCAAGTTGAACAACAAGCTTGTTTTCTATTATTACAGCTCCTTTCATAACAGAGTAATGAGTTATAGAATTAGCAGAGAAGCCTGTTTCGTAGGCAGTTTGTTCAGGCAGTTGGTAATGCTATTTGTCTTCAGAAAAATATCTGAAGTATGGGAACACCATTACCCTAACTGTCCTTTAAAAATTGAGGGAGATTGCAGGTATTCCTGCATCCCTTCTTGTTATGAGCACTTCCCCCACCAGCCTGGTCCCACTTCCGCGGCAGCCCCAAATAACACACAGAGACACTGTATTAGTTATAATGCTGTTGGCCAATGTCTAGAGCTTTTTATTGGCTTGCTCTGTCTTAATTATTAGCCCATAATTACTAATAAATGTATTTGTACATGGACTTATCTTACCGAGAACTTCAGACTCACGCATCCTCTCCTCTTGAGATCACATCTTGATTTCGTCCCAGAATCCTCCACCTCTCCTAGTCCCACCTATCTTGCTTCCCTATTGGCCAACAATGCTTTATTCATTAACCAATAAAAGAAACATATTTATAGAATGGCATCTTCCATCACTTTCTTACATTTGTCTTCATTCAAGATTCCCTTCTTGAGAAATATTGTCAGATGTTCTATACCCATTTCATAAATTCATCATATCTTCACATGACCTTAATTCAAACCCCAATATAATCTTACCTACTAAGTCTTTATCATCACAAAACCGTGGGCTTTAATAAGTATTGTCACGATTTGGGAAGGAGCTAAGTAGGATCTATTTTAATGTTTTCTATTCTAACAATGTCAGTATTACATGTGGCCCACAAACCTTTGAGTACTTCAGATAAGTTGGGCACTTTGAGGGTTACCCCCCTTCTGAGTCCAAGACAAAATGCAAAGTACCTATTAGAAGATGTGGCTTAGGTGCCTCAGGAAATGCAAGTTAGTCTTCATTAGAAGCAAGCTGCATAATTTAACACTTTAGTTGAGTATTGAGTTGTTTCTGTCCAGTGAGTTGACTCTGGTAACGAGGCACAGTAAGGAATGTCTGGGAGAAGAGCCTAGGGTCACTTGGACAATGTCTTAGTCTCTATATTGCTGTGAAGAGATACTATGGCCAAGGCAACTCTTATAAAAGAAAGCGGTGAATTGGGTCCTTGCTTATAGTTTCAGAGGTTTAGTCCATTATTATCATAGTGGTGAACATGGTGGCATGCAGGCAGGTGCTGAGGCAGTAGTTAAGGGCTACATCCTGATCTGTAGGCAGGGAGAAAGAAAACTGGGCCTAGCATGGAATTTTTAAAACCTCAGAGCCCACCCCCAGTGACATTCTTCCTCCAACAAGGCCACGTCGACTCCAACAAGGTCACATTTCTTGTAATCCTTTCAAAGAGTTCTACCCCCTAGTGACCAAGTGTTCAAATTTTTGAGCCTATGGGGACCGTTCTTATTCAGACCTCCGTAGATAGGTTAGGCTGCTGTTTGGGGTGGTGTTTATTGGAGAAGTGTCCTGCTGCCCTGGACCAAAAACCTTTCTGGGTTGCTGATTGCCATGGAGTTGCCGTAATTACAAGGCCACTAATTTGGAAGCCTTTTGTTTTTTGTCTTGTTGTTCCAGGTCCTCTGGAATGTTCTGCTACAGCCAGACCTGTAGGCTTCCTTCTCATTTCTTGTTTCTCTCCTTTCCTGCCTCTCCTTTGTTTTCTTTTCTTTTAAAGATCTTACACCGTAGCCCAGACTAGTCTTAAATTCACATCTGGCCTCCTTCTTCAGACTCCTCTTGGTACTGGGATTGTAGCTGTTTGCTCAGCTAACTTTTGACTTGTTTTTGGATGAGCCTGCTGTTCTTGGAAGAAAGCCCCTGTACAGAAGTGCAGCTAATGGTCAGTCTAGTAACACTCTCACTTTTCTCACTTTTGTGGGATCCACAATGCTCGTGGAGAAGAGTTTCACAATAAAATTTAAAAGCAGTGGTCATTTAGCTTTCTATTTCTTGAAGGTCTGGATAACAGAGCAGTCACTATTGGTGGACACACTTAGGAATGCTGTTAAAAGTCTTTTGTGATATTCTGGGCTTCTTCCTTCGTGGACCAGGTTAGGTCACTAACATTATTTTATTGCTAGGTCACTGACATGATTCCCAGGAGAAACTGGGTCAGTCTTACAAACATCTCTGGGCTTTCTCCAGACCCATCAGTGTCTTGGTAGAAATCTGGTATTTTGAGGTTATAGATCCTAATTAAGACCATTGGATGATGGAGATGACAAAGATGATGTTGATGATTTTAAGATGGGTCCATGTTCTGTGGCTTAGGCTAGATTCAGACTCTTGATCCTCCTTTCCTAGCCTGAGTGTAAGGACTATAGGTTTCCACTACCATACCCAGCTAGACCTGAGATTTGTTTAGAGAACTTTTCAGTCTTCCTGAGGTATAAGAAAGGTGTGTGTGTGTGTGTGTGTGTGTGTGTGTGTGTGTGTGTGTGTGTGTGTGTGTGTATGTGTGTGGTGTGTCTTGTCTGTCTGTCTGTCTCTGTGTCTGTCTTGTTGGGAGTTAACCCAGAACCTTGTACATGTTAGATGTTCTACCACTGAGCCACATCTTTTATTCTATTTATTTGTGTGTTTGCTTGTGTGTGTTCATGCACACATGCACACACAAAGGTGTATACGTATGCCACAGCATGGGTATGGAAGTCAGAGGAAAACTTGTCAGTTTTCTCTTTCCATCATGTGTGTTCAGAGGATGTCATCAGGCTTGGCAGCAGGCCATCTTGCCAGCCCAGTATAGGAAATTCTTTTAAGATTACTTTAGGTTTTGTTTTTGTCTAGGGAATGCAAGCCACTTGGACCCATTTCCTAAATTTCCAGATTGCTTTACCTTGTAAGAAAGCTGTTTATCTCTCCTCCTCTCCCAAGGAAGAAAGACAAATCAGTAACTGGCTTGTGAATGTTCAGACAATATAGTATGGAAAGAATCTAGCTATCGGGAGTGCCACACCAGTTTACCATCCTTTGTGGAGAGATCTTGAATGATGGCGTTCCTTTTACACTGTATTTTGGGTCTCATGAAGAACAAATAAAACCTAACAGCGCAGTACCCAAAGGCTGTGAGTGCAGTGCTTTTGTGTGTACTGTGTTGCACAGATAATGCTCTTGAATTTGATAGTGACCTCGTGCCAACCAGCCCTTCTGTGAGGATCTTATCCTCTCAGAGGAACTGTATTTGCTTGGCAAACACTTGGCTTGCTTGTAAATTCAAATCTGCCCCTCTCCCAACCCAGGTGCAAAGATTGGTCCTCTTTGTCCTACAGGACTAATGAGCAGCATTGCAATTAAGAGCTTGTTGTGTTGAGTTCAGAAAATTTTTTAGTGAGACCTAGAAAGTGGCAGATGGTCTTCTACTCCAGCAAGTTTTTACTAAAGAAACTTACCTCCTCAAAATTTCCTTTTTATTAATATTCATGCAGGGGAAAATGTATAATTACAAAATTATAAGAGAAAACTGAAGTGTAACTTGCTGTGGCTTCTTTGTCTCAAAGTGTTGATTTGATGTAGCATTATCTGTTTCTTCCACTGTGTATTGCCTTAGGAAGCTATGCATGTTGGCATCCATAATTGGCATTGACATTCAGCAAACCAGAAGATGCCTAGAGTTGTGTAGCTCCTTAGGGGCAGGGTGAACTCTGAATGTCATTCCTTTATATTGTTTTCTCACTTTTCTTCTTGGCTACTAAATGGGGGGAAAAAAACTACTGCTGTTCTGGATAGATTTTAGTTGAAGGCCTTAGAAAGCTATTGTTTAATATTTAGCAGGACTATAACATGTACTTTTCTAAATTGTTTCTGTGTGAGATGGACCACATGTGGCATTGAGTATTCTCTGTATTCTTAAATTTTATTTTTGTAACTTAAAATTTAGTAGAGTTTTTGAGCCAGTAGGAGGTAAAAGCAAAAATGAAAATAATTACTTCAGCTCCAGGTTGCGGTGGTGCAGGCCTTTAATCCCAGCACCTGAGAGTCAGAGGCAGGAGGATCTCTGTGAGTTTCAGGGCAGCCAAGGCTACACAGAGAAACCCTGTCTTGAAAAAAAAAATCGCTACTGTAGTCTAATTGTGTTGATATTTCCAGTGGTGTATAGTTGACATGTAAATATCTCAAGCTAGTATGGATATTTTTAGTATATAAATTATTATAATGCAATTTTCAGTGGGAAGGAATTGTTTTAAATTTCCTTTTCTCTTTTCTTACAGGAAGGAGCTGGAAGCCTTCAAAGGTAATTCTGTGTTTAGTTCTTCACTTTACAGTAGTTTAATTAATCATGCCAGATATTCTAACTTGGTTGGTGATAATGAAAATAACTAATTCCCTTTCTTTTAAACAAGATCGTTTATGTTAAAAAGCAGAAATTGAGCCAGGTAGTGGTTGGGCATGCCTTTAAGCCCAGCACTCAGGAGGCAGAGGCAGGTGGATCTCTGTGATTTCCAGGCCAGTGTGGTCTACAGAGTGTGTTCTAGGACAGCCAGGGCTAACCACCACCAACAACAAAAAAGCAGAAGTTGATATAATACTGTTATTGTATCTTTTATTTCTTCACAAGTTTGAAATTCTGGTTTACTTGGAGCACAGGTGCCAAGTGAGGCTTTGTGCTGAGTAATGTGTTAAGGAGGTGGAATGCTAACTCTGAGTTGTTGAGGCTTAGGATTTCAGAAAGTGATTTCTGCTGTGCAGCGGCCACCTGGCTCACAAGAAGAGATGGGGAGGAAGCTTAGGGTACACCTGATAGTCTTATGAACTTCCCAGAAGTCTGTCTTGTCAGAGCTGGGGCTGCTCTCACACTGTCCTGTCCCTTTGATTAGTCTTCTGACTTGGGGCTTGGTTCCTTCATCTACAAAATTAGGGGTTTTGATGAAGCATTACTCTGAGATCCTGAAGTGCAAACCAATGTTCTTTCTAGTTTAGAGGCGCTTTTGAAGGGGGACACAGAGAGTCATTCTTGGCCATGTTCGTTTCTTTTTTGTTGTTAAGCTAAAGTGCCATGACTGAGGCACTTTATAGAAGGAAGGGTTTATTTGGTTCCAGAGAGAGAGCACATATTGGCAGGGGACATGTCAGAGGAGTCTGGAACAGGAACTCACAAGGCCTACCCTTAGTGATGTACTTCCTTCAGCAAGGCTGTATCTCCCCAAACCTTCACAAACATTGCCACCAACTGCAACCTAGTGCCCAGATGCCTGAAGTAGCCACGGAGGATGTTCCTGAGCACACCAGCACACTAGTGGTGGAGGAACCCTCAGACTTCCTGGCAGCTCAGAGTCCTTCCAGTGTGCCCCTTTCAGTTCTTCTGCACTAGTTCCTACAGACTGCTGCTCCTAGAGACTCTCATCAAGAGATGGAGAGGGGAATTACGTGTTGACTCTCTACTGGTCTGTTGCATGCTTGTCGCTCCTCATGTATGTTTGCCTGGCCTTTAGATTTAATGAATGAGTATAAGTTTTCCAGTATGTTGTTTATGTCTTATGTGTTAGGATGTTTCAGAAGAATGACCATTCAAGACAAAGGTCATAGAGGTGTATTCCTCCTGTGGTTGCATTGGACAGATTCTGTTTTGTCTAACTTTCTGTTTCACATACTGCCATGATTAAGTTCTTGGCTAGTTGTTGAAGGTAATACTGTATGACCATGTGATAGCATGAACTGTCCTGCTCTCATTGTTCTTATGTAATCATTACCCTGTGTATGTGTATTGTTTTTCATCAGTTATTTGAAATAAGATTTGAAATCTTCATAAAATGGCCCTTTGCCTCTTGTTTCGATTGACCAGTTGAGTGTTTCTTATTTAACTTTAAGAGACGGAAAGAGCCTAATCAAGTTAATAGAAGAAGACAAGCAGGGGCACACATTACATAAAGTGTCAGCTCTACTTGCATCTCTCTACTGAAACATTGTGGTTTAGTGTGTCGTCGTTCTCAGAAACTAGCTATTTGCAAAAGGTTAGGCAATAGTGCTTATTGCTTGATAGAGTACTTTGATTTCAGCAGAAATGTTTTGTTTATACACGCATTCCTAATTTTGTACAACATTTATAGCACACCAGATCTATCCACAGAACAAGTATCAGACAGTAGAGAAAGGATGGGATTTGTTTTCAGAGATGGGGGTCTGTTTCTAAGGACTAAACAAAGGACATCATGCATGGTAGAAAAGTGTTCTATTGCTGAGCTCTGCCCTGTCCCTTTTTTATTTATTTTAAGACTCATTAAGTTAGCTAGGCTTGCCTCAAAATTTGTGCTCCTTCCATCTCAGTAGCTGGAATAGTAAGTATATGCCACCATACCCAGCAAAAATAGGATTTCATCTAATCTTTTGGAGAACAAGTACTCTGAACTGCCAAGCCATCTCTTCAGCCCCTAATTTTAAAAGCAAGTTGCTATCCCATGTATGAATTTTAAAAATTACTCTTAAAATTTTAAGTCTAGCCAGGTTGTGATGGCACACGCCTAATCCCAGCACTTAGGAAGCAGAGGCAGGAGGATCTCTGTGAGTTCCAGGACAGACAGGACTGTTACACATCTGTCTCCAAAAAAACAAAAAACAAAAAACAAAAAACAAACAAACAAAAACAAAACAAAACAAAACAAAAAGGAACAAGAACCAGAGATTTAGGGTTGGATATTCCTGTCTCACTATTCAATTCTTGACTTAACATGGTTTTAATTTATTTGCTTTAACATTCAGGTTAAATACTTTGGATAAGAAACCACCAGTCCTTTTTCTCTGGAAAATATGTCAGTTTGCTGAATCCTTAGAGAAGGCCATTGGCTGGCCACTCTTCCAGATACCTATTTCCATAAGTAGAACTGAATATTTAGCCAGAGAAAGGGTCAGCTTACGTTCTGCTGTACTAATGCTCAAATTTAAATACTAGATAAGAATGGAACCTCACTGTTAAGGACAACTGTAATAAATTAGTATGTAACCCTTTGGAAAACTTTCAATTTTGACACAAATAGTATATATATATAGTCAAAAATTAGAAAAGATTTGGGGAAAGAGGTTCTGTTGTGTCTTACATCTATTTCTGCTGTTTTTTATAACAACATTGAAATTTTCATCCAGTACAGTGTGAGTAGCTTATTCAAGAATTTTCAGTCAGATAATGCTTAATGAATGTATGATTAAAACTGAAGTTATGTTTTAAATTGAAATATTTGCATATGTATTTTTAATAGATTTCTGTATTACTTTCCTTTTAAAAAAATTAAATGACCAAAGTGGATCCAATTTTATAAGATATCCATTGTAATCTACTACTTAGTATAAAATCTATTTCAAAAATATGATCAGTAAGTTGAAAACATGTCAGGATTTAGAGTTGTCATTATTTCAGGAGAGTTCTGTGGAATGAGGCAGTCTGTTGAGTGGCTTTTGAGGCTTTGCCTGGGAAAACACTGGGACAGATTTTACCAGAGCATTCAGAGAAATAGGAGGAAAAACACAGCAACATAATAGCAGAAACTCAGTAGGGAAAAGGGCTAAATGAAAAGAGGTGCCTATTCTGATGGTAGCTGTGCGTAACAATTGAGTAGACTATGACAACACCACGTTATTTACCAATAAATCAGTAGTTAACTGACAATGTGGCAGAGCTGTTTGTAGAGGGAGAATCCAGATTCCAGATGAGAAGGGAATAAAAAAATAATGGTTCCTAAATGGAAAGAAATGACAAATGCAACTTGAGTAAGGATAAGGGAAGCAAGGGAGGAGGCAAGATTGAAGGTATTAAAGGAGTTGAGAGTTGATTAGGGTAATAAAGAACATGGCAAGAATGATATGTAGGTAAGTCATCTTTGGATAGGATCTAGGAACATCTCTTTCCCTAAGATCTTACAGAAGGAAACGATAACTGGTATGGGGTGGGGGAATCTCATAAAGAAAGAGGACCTGAATTTTCTGGGATAGGCCTAGAACTAGCATAAAAAACAAATGTGCTCTGCTGAGTAGGACGTTGAAATGAAAAGAGCATTTATAATTATTTTATCTGCAAGACCTAGTTGTCTTGGGTGATAATGTCAGCATAAATGAAACTTGCCACAAAGTTCAGAATGAATAGGAGAGGTCTGACCAGACCAGCAGAATAAGCACGCAAGAAAGTGTGGGGTGGCTGCCACAAAGGGGAAGAAGTTTGTAGTCAAATGGGTCGTGTTTCATTTTAATACCTTAGAGATGGAAAAATTCTTAGCATTGACAGCAGTTGAATGTGAGTGAAGATAGAAGCCATCAAGTTGAAGAGATCACGTGTCTTAGTGTTCTAATGCTGTGAAGAGCAAGTCATATAAAGGAAAGTATTTAATTGGGGCTTTTTTATATTTCAGAGGTACATTTCATGTTTGGGAGTGTAGTGGCATGTAGGCAGACATGGTGCTGGAGAAATACCTGAGATTTGTACATCCAGATCTGCAGGCAGCAGCAAGAAGAGGCAGACTCTGGGCTTTTTTGAAATCTCAAAACCCCCAGTGACACACTTCCTCCAGCAAGGCCACACCTCCCAATCTGTTCAATTAGTGCCATTCTCTGATGACCAAATAAAAGTAGGGAGGAGAAGGCTATGATCTGAGAGTGAATCAGGATGGATGCCAATAGTTTAATTGAAAACAGAATATACCTTTTTTCTTTTTCAAGACAGGGTTTCTCTGTAGCTTTGTAGACCAGGCTGGCTTCATATTGGCAGAAATCTGCCTGCCTCTGCCTCCCGAGTGCTGGGATTAAAGGTATGTGCCACCACCGCTTGGCTCAGAATATACCTTTTATATAAACTCTATAGTTGTACATAGGGTTAAACAGGAGGAAAGGAGCATGTGAGCTGGGCTGGCTGTGGCTTTGATCAGAAGTTGAAGAATCTAGCATTGATCTTGACAGTAGACACCAGTCATTTGTTAATGGAAGAGCCACAGTTCTTCTTGCTAGAAATAAGGAAAATGACTGCTTTATCAAGCAGAAATGTTCCTTGGGGCAGGGGCCACCCCCAGGGAATGGAGATCTTTATCCAGTGTCTGACCTTAGGAAAATGACTTCTTCTGGGGACCAGACAATATACTAAAATGGCTTAGTCTTACTATATGGGCTTAACAAATGGGAGGGTCTGATTTCTAACTCTTCCTATTATACTGTACCATTCTGATTTCTCTGTATTTATTTTCTGAACTCTTGCCCTTAATGGCCCCAAGCTCTGGATCTGAATTGTAGGCATTTCATCCTTGGGACCAAGTGTGTCTA